ATGGTAATGTAGTTTGAAAAATATATATATATATATATATATATATATTTATAATTTCTAAATCTTATAGGAAGTTATATAGATTAATAAGTTATAATCTTAATTTAAAAAAAAAATTTTAACAAAAAAAAAATGAAAATATTTTCTTCTAGTAATTTTATGATTTATGAAAGAGGTTTATGATTTATGATGTTGGATTTTTATGTAAAGAGACAAGAAAATACTTAAAAAATAAATTCAGATTTAATGGAAGAAAGAAAAAGAAAACAGAATAATTGATGAAAAAATATTATTTAAATTTAAAAAATATATATATATTAATTTAAATACTAATTAATAATTAAAACAAACGTCATGTAATAAGATTGAAATGTTTAAGAATAAATTTCTTTATCTATGGAAACTAATCAAATTTTTAGACAGTTAAAGTAAAAAATATTTAAATTAATTACATGAAATATTTTTGTGTCGTGTAAAAAAGAACATTTAATTTTGTATAACCGAATAAATTCATCTCTTGGTAATTTATTACTGTAATAGTAAAATTAGACTATTACACACTTGCGAAATAACTCTCCATTATAAATTATTCATCGTCAGAATTTAGATATGACAATTAACGTGATGAATACTAATTTTATATTGAAGAAGGTAAATAATATTGAATAGAATCTTAGTTATTCATTGAAGTAATGAACTTCATATAAAGATAATGAGATTTACAGTTGTGTTAGTCGTTTACAGTTATGCTAATACTTGATTTTTCTTAATTACTTTTGTGAAAAATGTTGAAATTTTCTGTTGAAAAATCATATTTACAATTTCTAAATAAGTTAAATTACTTTTTTTCTTTACGAAAAATATAAATAAAGTTAAAATAAATTAATTGAATTGTTGTAAGAAACTAATCAATAGCAGAAATTAAATAAATTTAGTTTTTTTTTTTTTTGCTCTTCTTATTTCAAGTACAATAGGAGACGATCAATATCGTGATACTGTAGAGTATTAAAGTTTAAGAATTATACTGTATTTCTTATGGAAAGCATATTGATAATATTGATTAGAATAACCAATTTTTCTCGAATTTTTTTTAAAAGTATCTTATTATTATTATTATTATAGAAACTTTAATTATAAATTTCCCATACTCTTTTTTATAAAATATAATATTTGTTTTACAGTATGTATAAAAACCTATTAACTTAATTATATATATATAGTGGTCGGATTGTCCACCAGGCACGTGAAACACAGGCCTAACGACCTCGAGACACCAGGCATTCTAAAAAATAAAGTAATCTGACCGTATAAGTCATAATTTATAAATAATTTTATACGTAAAATTAAGTGTTATTAGTTTATGTTGAGGTAAAATTATGTAAAGGAAGCCCCTATATACCGGGCCTGTGGCCTGAAAGCTCTTTATTTGCCACTGTTCTTGTCTTTAATCCACCACTATAGTTATTAAATTATACATACACACCTACACACACACACACACACACACACACTATATATATATATATATATATATATAAGTAGGTGTATGTGTAATTTAATAAGGAATATTTAAAAAGAACTGACAGCAAATATAAAAATATTTAATTTTCATCACTTCTAAGAGAGGTTTTTACTGATTTTTAAACTAAACATTTTGAATATTTGTATTTCTAAGTCAGACACTTTAATAAGATTTATTATATCATAATGTACATAATTGTGTATTATCAAATATACCTAAGCATCATTATTATTATTTAACTACGTTTAAACTTTATATGAGTCTATTTAATTATTAATAGAATTTAACTTAATCTCTAATAAGAGTTACAATAATGAATTAGTAATATTTACAATTTTATGATTTGAATTGGAAAGGATTTTTTAAAAATATTCTATTATCTTCTATATATTTTTTGGAAAAGTTTCAAGGTAAAGATTATTTAAGTAATGTAATAATAAAGATTTTGCATTTTTCTCCACTTAAAAATTTTTATTTCAAGGATTACTGATAATTTTTTTATTTTTTTATTTTTCAATTCTTTATTATAGCAAGAAATATTTCAAATCTTCTTTTGTATTTTTCAAAAAAAATAAAATAAATTTTACATTGTACCTTTAGTACAAAAGATAAATTTTTCAAAGTCCACTTAAAAAATTTAAGAACAAATTGGAAATATATTTTTAGGTATAAATTTAACAATTTTAAGTAATATTTTGTTATAATTTTTAATTTAATAGTTTATATATCTATTGTGTTTTCAATGTGTAATTTTTTCAAGGTGGTTCATCGAGGATCCACCAACAAAAATAAAAAAAATTAAAAAGAAATTCTAAAGATTTCGATTAATATATTTATCATATTTACGTAATTTAATTTTCGTAAAGTTGTAATAAAGATGAGAATTACTGAAGGTTCAAATTTCATTTACAGAAGTTTTTATCCCGTCTTTTACAGATCCAGATTTTCTTCTTGCACGTAATGATCGAAAATTCCATCATCCAACCCACTCAGCATCCCAACAGTTTCCTTTATCGACCAAAAGAGGGAGTTTGCGCTGTAGGGACATGGTTCAGTATCCACTGTTTCATTTCTCCTAGGCAGCTGTAACCTTTTGAAGCTTTGAAAAGCTTCCTGTCTCTCACCGTTATGGGAGAATATGTTTAAGAAAGCAATGACATGCTATGAGGGAAAAACTCATTCAGTAGTTTTACATCCGACTTGGAATAACTTTATAGCAAACAACACCGCGGACATGGTGCAGAAAATCATGTTTAATGTTGTTTGTTACCCTGTATCGTTGCGGGGTGCGACAACTCTAAGGAACATCGACAGTGACTTGCCAGGATTTTGTTGAATCGTTTATTTTAATCTTTTTTTTTCTTTTGTTTTTAGTTTTAACAAGTGCCAATCTTTTATTACAGAAAAACAAGGTAAGTTTTTTAACCTCTTAAATGTTTTTTTTTTTAATTATAAAATTTAAATGGATGAAACAGCATACTGAATGTCCAGATCAAATATGTTTTGAGGTGAATTCTTTAACTTAAATGTTTTTTTTTTTAATTAAAACGTCCTGAAAATTTAATTCTTATACTATTTTCATTCATTTCAGATGAGAATTTATCGTTTTCGAATTATTATGGGAATAACATTATTATGTGCAATATTAACCATCATTTATTTCATTATCAATCAAGTAATTAACATATAATATATAATATTTATTTATATTTATCAAATGAATATTATAATATTCATTTGATATTATAGTATATTATATTATAATATAATATAAAATTTGCTCTTCAATATTGTTAATATTGAAGAGCAAATTTTACTTAGAATTATTTAAATTTATTAAAATGCTAGAAAAACAAATATACTTACCGGTACTAATGCTTAATAATGAAAATGCATATACAAAATGAAAAACAAAGCACAAAATAATTCCGCGTATTCTTAATACGCTCTTTTTACACTATAGAAATGCAATTAAATCCAAAGATTATACAAATTTTCACTGTGGTATGACTGACTGTCCTTCCTTAATCTCAAGAACAGAGTTAGATGAAAGTCAAGACCAGATATGGAAAGCTTAGAAGAAGGAGACCCGATTAACTATATATGAACTTCAAGTCTAGACCGGAAGTCACGTTATTTTAATTCAAAAATTATTCCCTGAAAGAAGTTAGATAGGAGTTGATTGGTACGACTCTATCGCTAGCAGGAAAAGTATAATATACAGGAGCAAGCCACTACTAATTTGAGGTGGAGAACATATAATTTAAATTAAATGAATTAAAGATATGTTTAAAAATTGCATCTCGGTTTTATGACGATGTCACAATAAATAGTTGCGTGTAATAATTTTTCAATTAGCTGTTCTGGCTTTGTTATCTAAATATTTAAATGTGAATGTTTGTTTGTTTGTTCGTTATTCATGTCTAGGCCGTTCGACCAATTGCTACGAAACTCAGAAGCTACGTTCAAATACTTCTAACTTAGATCATGTCGTATATCTCACCCAAAAATCGATTGCATTTCTNTTTTATTTTTTATTATTTTTTTTTTATTCTCGGTAGTATCAAGTTTATACTCCGAACAATTCATTCAGTGAAAATTTATCTTGTCTCAGCATATAAAACAAGCTAAAGTAAAAATACAATTTACTTATAAAGAGTACATGCGTGCGGGAATTATAATGATAAAAGATCATATAATGGAGGAGTTCCGTAGAAAATGCTTTTACCCTTTCCGATTTCTATCAGAGAAAAATATAAAAAAAAAAATCTGACAAAAAAAAAACACATCATAGCGAATCACTGATTGACACAATGTTCGTTTTCAATCAATAAACATGTCATAACTTGTTATTGAAAAGCGTGCCGCTATCGTCGAGATGTTAAAGATTAAAAAAAAAATAAAAAATACTTGTAAAATAGTAGAAACTTAATATATTTATCGCGTATATGATACTCAATAATCTTAAAACTGAAGAATAAGTGTAGTGGAAGACAGCTTAGAAGAATTATCGATTGATGGTGTTGCGGTTCCTGTTGATGCTGTTATGCGTTTGGATAATGCAGAATAGCGACAAAATCATTTTCTATATTAAAAATTATAACTTATTTGATATTTAAAAAAATTATACTAATAAATATTCTCGATTTTATTTTGTTCTTTCTAAAAATGGATCTCTTCATCTCTTCCTCATCTCAGAAACTTATTTGAATTTCTCAATCGTCTTAGAATTAATGTAATATATAT